GCAAGAAGAATGAGTTTAATAAAGTTTGATTTATCTGACTGCTTTGTTTCGCTTAATGTGCCTTATAATCCTGTGCACCTTATGGTCCGAAAAATACGTACTGCACACTGCAGTTTAATGTTGCAAAGCAGCTCTTTTTAACTTCAGTGGATATTATACATGGTTATGCTCAGGATGTGTCAGCCCATTTCTACTGGAAATGCCTTTTGGTTAAACTTTCAGCAAGGAATTTGCATTTGCACTGTTACATTTTTATAAAGCTTTAATGTACATAAAAACCAGCTTCTTGTTTAAGTGAAAATAAATGGAAGGTTGTCTTTTTGCGCTAGTAATGTTGTGGAGTTGTATTTTGTCTCGCATCAATTATATTGTCAGTTATATCGTTATCGCAAATTTTCAAATATATATCGTGATAAATATTTTTGGCCATATCGCCCTGCTCTAGTGTTGATGATTGCTGTTGCTCATGGAAGCTAGCTTAAAAATGCAAATGAGAGAGCTAGCACATGTTTTCTTCAACTCTTGTTTTTTTTCTCTCAGAAGTAGAATGTGTGTGATAGCGCCCCCTGGTGATCACAAACCGAACACAGGTCGCTATGTTTGCTTTTTTGGCAGAGTTGTACCAGTTTATCCTTAACAAGATCTAGTTCAAAATTCATTTGATCGGCATAAAAATGAATTTAGTCAATGTTCATAGCTCATCATCAAAATACTTGTAGATAAATCCAGGCTCTGAGATAAATCTGTGTCAATGCCACACGTGTTTAATAGCCCACTCATTTAATAGCCCTTTGTGACCATGGCTACAGAAGTTTGACTCTTGCAAAAATATATAGTTTGGCCCTTTCAGGTAACATTGACAGTTACCTGAGATTCACAGTTCTGCAGGCTGTTTGGAGCCTTTGAGCTCACATTTGCTGAATCACTGAAGTGCACTCCTGTGTATGTTAATTTTATACAACTTGCTCATGACAGCCCACATACAAATGACAGCACTTTTGTTAATATTAGCATTTGAATTAAAAGCTACAGTTCACATATTATTAGGTTAACGTAGAGCTGGGCGATAGAACGATAACGATATGTATCGCGATATAACTTTTACTCGATAGAGAAATTACGCTATCGCGATAGACCTCGCCGCTCTTGTCCTCTTAAAAAAAAAAAAAAAAAGGTCAGCCAATCCAAATTAAGCAGCGCAGAGCCGAACCAATCACAGCCGCAGCGTCACGTCGCGTGACTTGTTACGTACAGCACAAGTGCCAAGCCGCACGTGTGTTTGTTTGGGAAGCAGCCAGCGGGTAATGGAGGAAATGAGTGTGCCGACTAGAAAAATCAACCGAGCGTGACCGAAGAGAAAACAGATGATGGTTCCAACGCCGGAGAGATTGTCGAACGGAAGAGCCATAGAAGCTCCGTAGGGTGAAGGTATTTCGGCTATTTCAAGTCTGACAAAAAACAGAGTAGCGTGCACTGTAAATTGTGCCGAAAACAAGTCTGGAAATACAATAAACTGGTGCATGCGTCACACTGTGCGCCACGTTATTGTTTCAGTGAAATGAATTTCTACAATACTGTTAATTCTACTCTCTGCAGTGTTTAAATGCTTACATATACACACAGTTACTGTCCCTCCACACATACGACTCGGTTCTGCTTCTATGCCCCAGCTTTGTTTACTTTTTCCCACCGAGGCTTCTAGACTTCTGATTGGCCAACATTTCTGCACGGTTAGGAATCTAGCTCCACCTGCTGCTTTGGCATGTTCATAGCAGCGTTTTCCTTCATTTCTGCCTTTATGTGTGGACGGGATTATTTTTTAAAACGGAAAATCTCCGTTTTATACCCGTGTACATGTGGACGTAGCCTCAGTCTCTGACTGGAAGCGCTAATTCGTCATTCGGCTTTTGTCAGACTAAAGTAACTGTTAAAACTGTTTGAAAAGCTCAGCTATACAACAAGGAGAGATTGAGAATTTCCTTTTAGTTCTCAGTTTATTTGATATTGACAAAAGTTAGTCAGTTTTGTCTGTTCTTCTGTAAAACAAACTAAGATTTATTTTTAGAATTAATATTTTGTTTCTAAGTGGAATTGACAATTTAGTCTGTTTCGTTTGTTCTATTTTGAAACTTAAACGCTTTAGCGGCTGCCTTTTGTGTAGTTTGCAATATTTGCCTTTATTTATCTGAAAAAGTCTCATGTTCGATAAGTACATCTACCCTGTTGAACTTATTATGGGAAATAAATATTTAAATAAAAACAAGCTGCTGATTATTTCACATTTTACTTGTGAGCAACGGCACATTTAAATCTTACAAATATAGTTATTTGGCTTATATCGTGATATATATATATATAAAATGAAAAAAACATATCGTGATGTGAAAAAATCTCATATCGCCCAGCTCTAGGTTAATGTTTTAACAACCATTAGCATTTTAGCATATACCCTGCTGGTAGCACACTAGATGGAGTAAGGTAATGTTAAGAAACATGGTAGTCAGTGATCCACAACCAGCTTATTGGCTCAAAACACCTTATCTAATTATAAACTGATACGCACCTACAGGCATGCCCTTTTAAATTTCTTCATAAATGTTATTTGATGTTATTATTACGGCAGCACGGTGGTTAGCACTGTTGCACAGCAAGAAGGTCCTGAGTTCAATTCCACGATCAGGCCAGGGTCTTTCTGTGTGGAGTTTGCATGTTCTCCCCGTGTTTGCGTGGGTTCTCTCCGGGTTCTCTCCAAAGACATGCAGCTTGTGGTGATAGGTTAATTGGTTAATCCAAATTGCCCATAGGTGTGAATGTGAGTGCGACTGGTTGTCTGTCCCTGTGTGTTGGCCCTGCGACAGACTGGCCACCTGTCCAGGATGTACCCCGCCTCTCGCCCTATGACAGCTGGGATAGATTCCAGCGCCCCCTGCGACCCTTAAAAGGATAAGTGGAAGCGAATGGATGGATGGATGGAATTTTATTAATATCTTTAAAATGAAAGCGGCACAAACAAAAAATTTGCAGCACAAACGTAGCACCAACCTGTGACATCAACTTTTGTTTGATTTGGGTGATGTGGGGGGCTGGCTGACCTTTTGACGTTTGCATTTTCATTAATATCTTTAAAACAGAGGCAGCACAAACGACAATTTTAGCAGCACAAACGTTTGACACCACTTTTGTTGGATTTGAAGCAGGTGGGGGGCAACTTCACTGACAGGACTGCACTGTGCTCCATTCAAACAGCAGGCGCTGAAATCAGCCTGGATTTGAGTTTTCTTTATGCAAGTAACAGCATAAAGTTAGAACTGTGAAAGTATCGCTTTAAAAGAAAGTGTAATGTAAAATACCCTCATGTATGAATGCATTAAGATGCAGATACAGCGATAGAAGTCCTCCTGTGGGTCTCCAATAATATGAACGCATCAGTGTCATTTCAGGCAGCTCATGGTCATTTTCATCACAGACATTCTGTTGATTGTGTCCTGTGTTCTCAGTAGCTTGGTTTGTTCAGACTCAGAGTGTGACTTAGCGTTGCACTTAAGTGCATCATATAGGTTGTTGCTTAGTTACAAGGCATCAACTCCGTTGCCTTTCTTTATCCCATCCATAAACAGAGACCAGTACTTGCTGAGTGTTTGTGTCGTGCGCTTGATTAGATGTAGGAAACATAAAACAGGTTTTCATCTTCAGATGTTTGAGCACTGAGGATGCAGCCTGGTCACATACAGGTAGATCCACCCTCTCAGTGTCAGGGCCTTCGTGCATCAGCATAAAACAGACACAATGGCTGTATCCCAATTCAGGGTCTGCAGCCTTAAAGGCCGCATTTTTTATCGCTACTGCTGTTCAAAATCCCATAAGGCTGGCTGACATGATAGACGATGGGCAGGGCTGTGAGTACTCAGACTGTGTTTTGATAAGATCTTGGAGAAGAACAACGGGAATTGAGATAATTGGTGACCAGTGACGGACATTAGACCAACTGTAAAAATTGGATGCAGTTGTTCGCACTAAACCCAAACATTCACCATCTTCACTCATGCAGCTATCCCACTGGCGCCAAGGTCGAAGCTGACTGGAACAACAAATTGTTCCCATGATTACAGGATTGTTGTCAGAACTCTTTGTCCCTCCTTCAAGGCCACCTGCGTCCACTGGAGACTGTTGACCTTTGCTTAACCGGGCGTGGTGACACTTTCTCTCAGCTGAACACGGGATACACATGCACACGCACGAAACATGTACACTGATACTGATGCGCCCTCACTATCACCCTCCTTCCCCTGAATCCAACGCCTCCCATCCAATGTGGACGGATCAGCTGGAGGCGCAGGCGAAGATTGTCCCAGATCAGCTGTACACACTGGAATACTCTCCCATGTTGCTTGTCTGTGTTTTATTGTGTTATGGTGTGCTGATATTCCTGTATTATCCTTTTGTGTTACACATTTCACTGTTGTTTTTTTGTTTTTTTTTGTTTTTTTTTCCTCACTACCTAGCCTGACCATCCCCAATGTGATGTTTGTATTGTATGTACTCTCTCTGTCTCTCTCTGTCTCTCTGTCTCTCTGTCTGTCTCTCTCTGTCTGTCTCTCTCTGTCTGTCTCTCTCTGTCTGTCTCTCTCTGTCTCTGTCTCTGTCTCTCATAATCTCATTAGTTGTCTTTTTTTTCCCCTCCAGACGTCCCACAGCAGCCTGTCTGTAAGGAGGAGGAGGTTCTCCTTGAGCTGCAGCTCTGTGACCAGGAGGAACCAGAACCTCCACAGATTAAAGAGGAGCAGGAGGAACTGTGCAGCAGTCAGGAGGGAGAGCAGCTGGGACTGAAGGAGGAGACGGATACCTTCATGGTGACTGCTGCTGAGGAAGGAGAGCACAGTGAACCAGATAATGATCGTCTCATCACTAATAACGCCCCTCTTGCTGAGAGCCAAGATCAGGGAAGAAGCAGGAGTGCAGATCCAGGATCAACGAGAAATCCAAACAGAAGTAAAAATGCAGAAAGCTCTCGTTCATGCAAAAATCTCTGTAAGACTTGTGGTAAAATGTTTTCTAGGCCATCAGAACTTAGAAGGCATACACAGATCCACACAGGTGAGAAGCCATATTCCTGTAAAACATGTGGGAAAAAGTTTCGTCGAACTTGTCATTTGACCGTCCACATGAGAATTCACTCAGGTGAGAAGCCGTATTCTTGTGAAACATGTGGGAAGAGTTTTCTTTCAACAGATCATTTAAATATCCACATGAGATCTCACACAGGCGAGAAACCGTATCCTTGTCAAACATGTAGTAAACAGTTTTCTACGTCATCGTCACTTAAAGAACACGCAAGGCTCCACACAGGTGAGAAGCCGTATCATTGTCAAACATGTAGTAAACAGTTTTCTACGTCATCGTCACTTAAACAACACACACGACTTCACTCAGGTGAGAAGCCGTACTCTTGTCAAACATGCGGTAAAAGGTTTCCCAGGTCATCGTCACTTAAACAACATGTGTGGCTCCACTCAGGTGAGAAGCCGTACTCTTGCAAAACATGCGGGAAAGGTTTTTATCACAATAAAAGTTTGTCTTTCCACATAAGAACTCACACAGTTGAGAGGTCACATGTTGGTAACACCTCCAGTAAAAAGTTTTCAAATTCAACATCACTTAAAAAACACACAGAAATTCATTCAGGTAAATAGCTGCATTCCTGCAAAGCGTGGGGAAAGTTGAAATCCTCATTTGACTGGCCACGTAAATGTTGAACATCAGCTGTTTCCTCCTGCTGAGAGCTCACACAGGTGAGAAGCTGTAGTCTTAACATGTTTTTAGAAAAGGTCAAATATTTGGAGCCAAGTTTGACACAAATGTACAAATTCATGCTGGTTCAAATGTTTTTGCTTTTGGCTTGAAAACCTATTCAGACAATGATCGTTTGACTGTATTACATGTCGCAATGTGTGAACTAAATCTGATGATACTTATCATGTTGAAGCTTTTTCATTCGTCAGGGAAAATATGATAAATCTTTTTTTGAAATTGATGGCAGCACCAGGTCTTCATAAAGGTTTGATAGAGGATTCTAGAGGCTCAGCAGTCCCCCGGCTCTTTGTTGTGTTTTTGATTTTCTGATGCTCCAGAGATTTCAATTTGTCTTTGATTAGTCAACGATTATTTCAATAAATCTTGTCTCCGCTTCCTGTGGGAAGACTTCCTGTTCTAGGCTTTAGTACCTCACCTGCTCAGGTCTGCCCACCTGTGAGTATCACCCTCTCGTCTCGTCCCACAGAAAATTAAAACAATGACCCAGGAGACATGAATTTGAAAATAATGTATTTTTAACATCAATACTTAAATATTTAGTCCTATTTTACTCAATAAGACTGTCCAAATAAAAATGAAATAAATACAAATATTAAGTAATATGAATTAAATTCTAGTAGTATTTGAACCAAAAATTCAGCTTTAAAGTAAATAAAAAAAGATTTTGTTTTCCAGTCCAAAATAACAAGTTTCCAAAGTTTACAGATGATGCTGTTTTGCTGTTCCACTGCATTCTTCGTCAGTGTTGAGTGCAGTCTTGGCAGACAACATAGGTGATACTGCCCCCACAGCTTCCTGTAGTGTGTTTTAGTTTAAATAAAAACAAAAAAAACATTTATGTGGTTTTAAGATGTGACAAGAAATTTCTATGTCGTGTGATCGATTATGTCGACGAATCATTGTAGCCCTACAAATGAACCTTACTGTTTTCAAAATGCTCCTCCACCTGTTTTCTTTAGCACCACTTAATTCTCCAGCCTTTGTTGTTCCATCGTGAAACATGTCGCTGCATTAAAGTCAAAACAAGTTCATAGTTTTCTTATAATTGTAGTTTTTTCCACATTTTGTTTTTTCTGTCCTATTTTGAATAAAACGTGTTTCTGAGATGTGCATTCTGTTTTTATTTCCATTTTACACAAAGTCCCAACTTTTTTGGAATTGGGTTTGTATAACTGCTGAAGGACAACATTCAATTGTTGAGAACATGGTTCGATCCTGGATTGTAGTCCAGGAAAAGACAAACAGTTTCCTCTGTGTCTGCCTTAGTGTCCTGAGATAAAATCATGCAGTGAATTTAGTTTTTCCTTTATATTGCTGTAATAAAAGTTTGTTTACTTATAATTTTGTATTTTTTATGTCTTCGTGTCTGAACGTTCCTGCAGTTGGTTTGTGGTTGATGTGGATTTGCTGCTCATGTGAATCCTCCCACAGTGTTTCATTAGCAGCTGTAACCACAGTGACTCTGATAAAACAGGAATTAGCAGAATCCATCTGATATGAAGCTGTGCTTTGAATACCACTTCCCTCCTCTTTGAAGAGTAGTCAGATATGTGTTCAGGTTTTTGTACAGCCTCTTCTACACTTTGTATCACTGTGTTTCTAGAGCACAGTAGTAGAGAGCTGTGTCTGCCAGGGTTAGGGCTGCTATGGTCAGATTAGTTGATCGATCTGATGTTTCTGATTTATATCGATTATCAGGAATATACTGAGTTGTGGATCCTCTTGCTCCTTTCCAGAGTATAAACTGAGGAGCTTGAAGGTCAGAATCATGTCTGTACCAGTACAGGAGTGGGTAACCACTATCTGTCTCATAGCTACATGTGAGTGTGACAGATTCTCCTTCTGTTTCAGTGACTTCAGGTTGTTGAGGAGTGATTGAGTCTCCAGCTGTTAGTCCTGGAAAAAGAAAGAAGAAAAGTAGTGAAATGCAGTCTGTATATCTGCTTAATGCAGCAGCTTCAACTAAACTTTAATCCCTGTTCTTAAACTCACCTATAATGTGAGATAGAAGCAAAAAGAGGTGCAGCAACATGTCTTTGGAGTTATTAAAGCCAGACAGACAGCACATGAACAATGTTCTTCCACTGCAGCACAATGACCAACAAATAATGTCATTGGATGAGCTCAACTTCAGTGGGCGGGGCCAGTTTAATAGCTCAGCCAATCAAATAGTTTTGTGCTTCCACAGCAGCTCTGTCTCTGTCTCTGATCTTTACTGCTTCATTTCTCTGTTGTCTTTGTCATCAGTCCAATGACACAAGAATCAGAGGTTAACAGTGTGTGGCTCCCTCTAGTGGATGTTGTGGAGTATTCTGTTGTCTTTGCTCCAAAGGTTTTTTGTACAGAGTTTTGCTGTTTCCTGTCACTGTGGGCCTCACAGCACAGTAGTACACAGCAGAGTCAGACACTGCAGCAGAGGAGATCTCCAGATCTGCACGTTTCTCTGTTTTGTCAATGTGAGCTGAGAATCCCGACACAGCTCGATGAACTGATCCTCCCTCTGTGATGTAGAGCAGGAACTCTGGTCTGGATCTCTGGTATTGTCGGTACCACTGGATATTGTAGATAGAACCATCATATGTACAGGTCAGGTTGATGTTTCCTCGCTCTGCAACAGCTTCTTCAGCACGTTCCTGCTTTATGCTGTTCATGGAGCCCAAAGCTGCAAATGAATGATTCATGTCAGTCAGTCTTTTTCTTCCTTTGTGAGCATAATGAGATGAAGAAATCTGCTAATAATAACTCTGATCAAATCTTGTCACAATGAGACTTTTCTGTGTTCTAACACTCACCTATGCAGTGAGAGAAAAGTACCAACAGGTAAAGGAACATGTTTCAGGTGCTGAAGTCACACAGCAGATGAACAAAGTTCAGCAGAATGAAAAGACTAAGCAGCCTCTCTGCTGCACAGCCTTCTCCTCAACATCAGGCTGTAGTTCTGCAGGAAGAGACCATCTCATTTGCTGAGTTCAGCACCAGTGGGTGGAGCCAGAGAGAAACCTGTTTAGAGTCTTTATGAACAGCAAAACATCTGCTGGTTGTTTTTACAGCTGTCCTTGTTGCATGTGTGTTTCTTTCAGACTGAAACGTTTTGGGAGGAGAGTATTTGAACAACTAATAAAAATAATAATTCACTGAGATTTAGAGATAAATCTGTTCCTACACTGTTATTAACACTGGGAGCACTGAACGTATCCTATTATGTTTTGGACATGGCTGTGATAGCTGAAGGTGCCATGAGAGAGTGTGTGGTAGATGAGAGTTTCCTCCACTTGTGTTCGTTTATGAGGAAGATGTGACCAGAACACAGTGACTGTTAAAGCAGGCGTTAGAAAAACGTACTAGATATGATACAACGTCTTTGTTTAACACATGAAATATTGTGAGAAGTCAGAATTGTGTGTCGTGGCTCTTATCACATGTAACCGAAAGCACAGCAAGTTCCCAGGAGATACAACTCCTGAGAAAGTCCTCCTACACGTCTGTCCCAGGGTGATATGCAACATGCTACACAAATCCTCTTTGTCTGTAGAAAAGAAGCTCGCTGAGCCGTCCCCAGAGAGCGCTCGCACAAAGTTATGGTTGCTGCTGCTGCTCACTTGAAGTCACTAAAAGCTTTAAAGTCACATCTCTTGTGTTTCTCCATTTGTTGAAGAGTTGTTCCAACAGCTTGGTACCTCGAGCCGGACTCCACATCTGTCCTACTCATTCCAACAATGTCTGGAAGGTGAGGTCAGCAGCAAGGGAGGAGTCGGAGAGTGATGAGATCTGTAACTACATATACACTGGAGAACCAGAGGTGTGGAGAGCGATGGCCTGAATCCTACAACAGGTCGGAAAAACCTTTTCTGTAAGAGCGTAAGACTCATAAGACGGTCAGGGAGCACAGAGTGTGCACAGAAAATGACACATAATAACAGCACATAATAATAGTTATGATAGGAATCAAAAGAATAATAATAAGTACAAAAGGTCAAAGGTCAGCAGTGTCTCCAGACAGTCAAAGGGGAAAACTGATGAACTAGCAGTGTTAACAAACGCAGGTGAAGTCATTTCATCAACAGTTTGGTCTTTTTGTCCAGCTTCCATGAGCTGGAGGATGCTCCCCAACCTGACTCCACTCTGTCTGTTCCACAAAGCAGCTTTAGGGAAGGTTGAGGCTAAACAGTAACACATGTAAGGCAGCCCCATTCATGGATTAATCACCAGAGTATGTTAGAGTTATCTGATGAACTGAAAATGTAAAGCTTGCATGTGACTCCCTTTAAGTGTGTAAACGATGTGAAGTTCAGATGAATTGTAGCCGATGATGCTGAGATCCATTCACTGATTTCCACACAGCAAATCCAGCATGTCCAAATTAACACTGTCGGATTTGATTTCAACACTATTAAAGTGTCTATATGGGTCCACACCAGAGAGTGTTAATTTAACTCTTTTTGGAGAGTTGGTACGTTAACTCTGATTTAGTGTTAAACACCAAATCTGTCTGGAGTTGATAATTTAACACTTGGTGTTAAGAGTTTATATATTAACTCTCAAAGAGTATTTTAGTTTAACTACGTAAGAGTTATCTTCTAATTAATTCTAAAAAGCGGGAATTTTACTGTTCTGAACTTCTAGAAATTTCTTTTGGAAATAAACATTTACTAAAAAGATGCAATGGTTTTTGAAAAACATTTATTCTGAACTGTGCACCACAATTTCAAAACATTTTCTGAAAGATGTAACAGTATACATGTTCTCACTTTCATTAGAATTTTGTTTATCAAAAGGTCTGACATGGTAAATGCAAATAACAGCATTCTCATCACTTATTTCTTCAATACAATATGCATGTCCTTCATTCATCCCTTTGTGGAACTTCAACGCACTTCTGCTCTCCCCCATATTCCATCTTCACAAGCATATCCTGTGCGGAGATTGAATAAAAATTAGTTGACACTAATTAATGGCACAAATAATCCAGTAAACAATTGCAGCACAGTAAAAAAAAAAAGGAATCCTCTTTGAGCCATTAC